GAACCCTCTCCTTACTTCTCTGAGAATCAAAAACTCTATCATTTCATGATAGCTATGCCCAAGATGGCCTCCAACCATCACATCACCCTCCAGTCCTTCTCTGTTCACAACCAAGAGGTCCAGCGGGTGCCTCCCCTAGCTGGCTCCCTCACCAGCTATGTCAGGAAGTTCTCTTCCACACCCTCCAGCAACCTCCGAGACTGTTTCCTCTCTGCTGTGTTGTCTTTCGAGCAGACATCTGGTAAGTTGAAGTCCCCCAGGAGAACAAGGGCTAGTGATTGTGAGACCTCCCAGCTGCTTATAGAATATTTCATCTGCCTCTTCTTCCTGGTTGGGTGGTCTGTAACAGACCCCCACCATGGTATCTGCCTTGTTGGCCTTCCCCCAATTCTTACCCATAAACACTCGACCCTTTCATCACCATCATCAAGCTCTAGACAGTCAAAATGCTCCCTAACACACAGGGCTACCCCACTGCCTCTTCTTTCTTGCCTATCCCTTCTGAAGATTTTATAGCCATCCATTGCATCACTCCAGTTGTGCAAGTCATCCCACCATGTTTCCGTGATTGCAATTATATCATAGTGTTCCTGCTGCACAATGGCTTCCAGCTCCTCCTGTTTGTTGCCCATGCTGTGTGCATTGGTGCAGATGCACCTCACTTGGGCTATTGATCCTGCCACCTTTTCTGGGGCAGAAGCCGTAATTCCTACGTGACTGTTCTCAGGTGCTTCCATGGTTTCTAATACATCAATAATCCTATTAACTTTGCTGCTGTGTGGATCTCCATCCCCTGCCTCCACTGAGATGGCAGACAGAAGGCCCTCGCTAGTACACCGTCCCTCAAACATTGGCATGCTGCCCCTAGGCTTATCTCCAGCGAGCCTGGTTTTATCTTTTTCCCCCTTCAAATCAGGGAGGATGTTCTGCTGTTGACCTTGCTGTCCTGCTTCCCCCTTGCCTCATTGCATGACCCTACTTGTCTCGGTGCCCCCCCAGCACCGAAGGAGCCCCCCACTCATGCCTCAACTTGACTTTGCACATGTGCCTCTCCCAGCTAAACAGAGACAAAACCATTGTGTTTTATTGATGGATTTTGTCATAACCTCTTCCTGAGCCTGCAAATTTTCTGAACACTGATTTCTTTTTAAAGCTCAGGCTATTGAGGCAGAAGCCTGTTCAGAAACCGGCCGGGAACAGAAGTCTGTCTCTGGGCTGCAGATCCTGCGCTGACATCTCGGTGTGTGGCTCCAACCTGAGCCCCACCAGAGACATGAGTGGATGCTTAAGTGTTTTGCTGAATGGCAAATATTTTGATTTGAGATCGGTTAGCAAATATTGCAGGACTTATATTATCTTTTGCTTATTTGGTGGGTTAATTATGACATTCTAGTATGCCTGCTCTGGGGAAATTTGGTTATCTTCTAATTTATTTGAAAAAATATGTTTCAACTAAGAATATGTGAACTTCATGTGAAATTGAAGACACTAGTACTAATCAGGAATGTGAAACTAGATTCATGGAACCCTGCTGAATTTCTTACTGTTATTTCTTGAATTTACTCTAAGGAGTAAAATCTGTCTCTTTCCTTACTACAGGATTTCCTGCGGGATCTCTTTTTGCAGCATAACAAGACAGTTGCTGAAGTAAAGCTGGAAGAATATACTGATACCATGGTAAGAAAAGATTGTGCTAATATTGGTTAGATTATAGTACTGCCTAAAAATCTCCTACAGGGTCAATGTCTATAGGGCCATAAATGCCCTCTTAAAAGGTGTATCTTCTCCAAGAGATCCCTGTGGAAAGTTAGCACATGCTGCTGCTGTTTCTTTGCACTGCACTGGACATCAGCTGTGAGCAGCATTTCATATACTTTTGCTTTGAGTTGAACTGTTTATTATGAGAAAACAGCTCGACTTTATGCCAAAGCAAACTAAAAATTTAAATCAATTTAAAAACAGTAGTTGAGGTGCATCCTTCTTCAGGGTACATTCAGCCTCAGCCAGATCTCCGGTTCCTTACCTCCCTTCCTCCTAGCAAATCCTTTTGCTCCCAAGACACGCAGGTATCCGACTCTTCTGCTCTGCAAAGCCCAACAAGCCTCACTGGCTCCCTGCTGCTTCCCTGAAAGGCCGGGAGGTTGGAAACTTAAGCTCTTCCCCGCCTTATCACAATATAGCTTTTATCCTGCAATCAGCAACATAATATTTGGTGTAAATTTAGCATCAGTCACCTGGATTTCAGAGCAACTTATTATATCTAACCATCTAAAAACAAGAAAAGAAAAAAAAAGCTCATTTCGGATGTCGTTCTCAAGGGTATCATTTGAGTTCCACTAGCAGACATCTACCATTGCAATTTTCTAAATGATTTTCAGATGGGACTGCCTTGATTCTTGGCACAAAATCTGTGTTTGTACCTAAAAAGAACAGCTTGGTATGCAAGCAAACAAGGAGCTGCCCAGATATTTTGCAATACCATGTAATGTATGCGTGATGCGTCTCTGCCTAGAAATGTGACCCTTTAGAGCAAAGTGAAAAACTGTACCATTACAGAAGAGTGTAGATTTTTTTCGTATTTATAGGACAGTGAAGGGAGAGCAATGCAAGCTACAGAAATTATTTTCCAGCTGGCAGAGCTTGAAAACAATAAAACCCCATAAAGCTAGAACAAAAACCTTCCTGGTAGTGCTTGCAGGTAGCAAATAGCTTTCATGCTGCTCCGTTAAGATTTCCATCCCCCATGGCTAATTTCTGATCAGGTGCTGGGGAACAGGTGATCTGAAGCTTGTAGACATCAGGCGGTTCATTTCCTCCAACTTCTTTCCCCTTCCAATAATTTCCCAAGAAAGATCTGCGATTGCTGCTGCTGCAACGCAGCTAGATATCAATGCAGCCTGGGGCTGACAGCCAGGAGGTCTGGTTTCTATTCCTATGTTTTTTTATAGATTGACTTTGTATCTTTGGAGAGGCAGTTTAGTCTCTACGCTGCAGGATAAGATTTGATCGGGGAAAAGGGATGCTCTCTGTTTCTGGGGAAATCTATGATCTGCAATGCAAATCTGGCTCATGAGGACAAAAGTTTGCAAAGCCGCAATGCCAAAAGAATCAGGGATGTTAATGGTTATTAGAAAATGAGGATATGGCAGATGATTTTTTTTTCCCTTGCCATTCTTTGCTATAAACTGAAGATCGAGGATGTTTACAAACACACCTGATCCCAAGAGCTAAGGCAGGGTGTGAAATTACAACACGCGTAATCTTACCCTGTGATATCCTGTGGTAAAATAGAGGATATGAATTCTGTACGTCACGGCAAAGTAGCCACATGGACAGCATCTCTATAGCAGCAGTTGCGCTGCATGAAAGCCCCGTGAGTCTGCTAAATCAAATATTAAAGAGCAGTAAAGCCACTGGGGAAAGTCACGAAAGAAGAACATTTGAATTCTCAAGACTCTTCATGAGGGAATCAAAGTAGCAACCCCGTGATGCGGAAGCCCCTTTGCAGGCAGAGTTCTTGTTAGTTTTCGTGCCTATGTAGAAATATATGTCTGTATTAATAGTCATTATGTGTGTATTAATATTTATTTACATGCACACACTTGCACGAGAAGATACATAGTCATGTGCAGTTCTGAACCCTTGAAAACAGCCTGTGGGTTTGTCATCTTCCCGCAGGCATAGGCCAAGAGCTGTTGGCAGGGAGCAGGCGCTCGGAGGCAGAGGCAAAGCCTTGTACTGCTCTGAGCCTTGCCGGGCTATGAGAATATATCCCAGGGGTCCTGCAATGTGTGCTCTGGCAGACGGGGTGGGCATAGCTGAAAATGGAGGTTTTTAAGAGCATGGAGAGAATATTCTGCCTTCCTGAAGTAACACAAGCTGGAGAAATGAAAGTTTGCCCCCTTGCTGCTTCATGACGAGAAGGAGGCTGTGGAGGATAACAGCAGTACTAACAACTTTTCCCAATCCCTCCCCACCTCCCCTCAGCCCCAGAGTCAAGGCTTCTGGGTCCTGGTGAAGTTTCAGCCCATGAACATCCAGGTCACGCGTGCATTTGACAACATTTTGCCATGAGTGACAGCTTCCATACCTGTGCATGCACACAGCCGTGTACTTAAGCAAACTATTGTAAATGAATATGAACCAGATTTAAGACATAGTCTCTGATGAAATTAAGTATTCATCCTTTTTTCTTCTGTGAGAACAAAATTCTCACTCAGCTTTTCCATCTTGACATACGTTATTACCTTGTTCATAGAAACACTGATAGTTCATAGCTTCTCAGATAGCAGCATGCTACTTCTAGTTTGTAATCCCAATGTCTGCAAGCCACACGCAGGGAAAGCTCATTACTGAGGCAAACTTCAGCAAATTAAGTTATATATACTACTGAAACAGTCGCACATGAAACACTGACATTCACTTTTTGCATTGCCTATAAGGCAACATCAGATGTTGATCAATGTTCATCAATGTTGATAATGTCAGACTGACCATAAAAATGTCCTTTAACTTGAGCATCATTATATTTTAGCAAAATGTAAAGGATAAACCCCACCCAAGCCAGCATACCATCTTTGCCCACCACAAGCTAAAATTCTAGAGAGGCAATAATGTAGGTGCAGTGACTAATAATTCAACAAGCATTGGTCATGAACTACAGCATTTGAAAGGTAGTAGATGGAGATGGCTGAGGATGAAATCTTAGCCCCGGAGAAATCAAAATAGAAATCCTCCCAGCTGTAATGATGCCAGGGTTTTGCTGTGCTTATCTGCAAAGGTTCTCCTGAGGACTGAGCCACGAACCCTGAGCACGTGAGCCTGCGGCCGACCAGCTGAGGGCTCCTCGTCTTCTCAGTGAGAAGGGGAACAGGTTGACTTCTTCCTGAAGATGGTTTCTGTCCATGAGTATGCATTGTGGACTACCTTTATTGTGCACTGGGGAGATTTCTGATGCTTTCGTGGCTGCTGCCTGTCCCCTCTGGGAGGACAATGCTAGAGGCTCAGCATGGTCACTTCTTTGGCTGTGAAAGCCTGCCTGTCTGTTTTTCTGTGCTCAGTGCCAATGCCAGTGTACTTATTAGGGAAATAAAAGTCAGAGCACAGAAAATCCAGGTGATTTAGCCCCTTAACGCCTTACTGGCCAAGCTAGCTTGTCTGTGTTAATGAAGTCTCTTATGAACACCAAAGAAATGGTGTAACAATGGAAAGACAAATTTTTGTTGTATTGACAAAAGCCTGAACAGAGTTCGTTATGTTTGTTAACACACTGAGCAAACTTCCCAAAGCCCTAGAAATACGATAGGAGTGGATTATAGCCTAAAAGACTGGTTGCCTAAAGGAGCAGTCTTTGCACATCCCTTTTCCTGGTAGTGGTCCATGCTGGCCTCCCTCCCAGGCGGCTCCATAAGGATGCCATGACCCCCAGGAGACTGCATCTCCAGTGATGCACTGACACTGCAACCATCACATCTCCTAACCCCAGCCACCACTATGGGAGCCCTGCCATCTCCAGAGAGCTTCCTCCTGGCTTTGGGTGGGTGTGATTCCTCGCGTTGCTTTGCTGTGTGTGGTAAAGAGAGGACCCACACAGCTTCTAGACTTAATCCTGGCAGTGCTGTCACATCCAGTTTTGTGCCACACTTGCTGTAACATAAGCCAGGGGAAGCAGAAAATCCCATTTAAGCTCAAATTTCATTTCTGAAGATCAAAACCAACAGAACTCAGGAACCTGCGGGCTTTTGAAAACCCCAGCAGATAACACCTTGGTCTTTTAGGAACTGAAACACTCTTAGAAATCCTGCACTAAACTACTCGTCTAGTTTACACAGGCAATCTGGTTGGGCAGAGCACTGAGCTTTTGTCCTGAGGGTAATTTGCTGGCCACAGGGCCCTCCTGTCGCTCTGCAAAAGCCTTTGTGCCCCTGTCCTTCCCTAAGGAAAGAAGCCATGGACAGTCCTGCAGCTCTGGCACATGCCTGTCTTCATGCACCCTCAATAACTTCTGTACTCACTGGTCAATTTTAGTTACAGCTGTCAGGTATAGATGTCCCTGATGTATATATTTGTGGGAGTAGGAGGTCAGGCAAGAGACAACTCTTCCCATGTCCCACCTGACATGGGACAATAAAACACACCATTACACGCAGAGAACCAGTACCAGAGAAGGTTTAAAAGCAGGCTTTAGCGACTCCACTGATCACAGAACTATTTATTTTTGTTGTTTACTTCTCTCCTTATCTCTGTCACGGAAAATAATTCAGATTTATAATCTTATGTTGCTCTTCAAAGCATGTGTGTGTTTGTCATATCCTGGTGTTTCAGTGGCCTTCTTTACAACACCGGACTCGGAAAGCAGAGATATTTCCTTTGCTGAATTTAAAGCCAATGGCAGTTTTGATTTTGCACTTAAAAAAATGAGATGTAACAAATCTTATTTTGCAAGCCCAGCTCTTACTTATGCTCTGTCTGCCTCAGAGTGCATGGACTATATTCAAACAAACAGAACTAAGACTTCCCTGGTGCACTGCCATTAAAATGTCAGTGAATTAATTTGTGCAAACACTTTAAAACACGGGGTAGCTTGACAGTAAAATAAATGCATCGTTTTATAAAGCATACTGCTGGATGCAACAAAGCTTTTAGTAAAACTGAGTGCTATTTAAACATGCCAGACCTTATCCTTAACCACATTGAGATGTTTCATATCAGCCTGGCAGCATAAATATACCTTTCAAGAGTGTAAACTGAAAATCCATCAAGTTTAACATATCAAGATGGTGTGTAAAGGCAAAAGTTTAAGTTAGAAACAATCTCATAATGATTCCAAATATCTCCTTCTCCCATGATGTACGCTTTGTCATGTGGGGTGGGTACCCTCTGTCATTCTTTGTGCACTTATGTACACAATTAGCAGATCAGATCAATGTTTGAAATTTGAAAGTTTAATAAAAAAACATTTCCCCAGGCTTTTCCCGAGTAATGCAGCCCAAGATTGCCATGTAGTGGGTATGCATGAGCTCCAGTTGTCCAGATAATAGGATTAGGTCTATCTTATTAGCTGTGGCACCTGAACTAATGCAGTGAACACTATTCCATCTTCCCTACGTGTTTTCCATCGTTCATGTGGAAGTCATCAGACAAGAATTACCTCAGCCTAGCTCTTCCAGCCAGACTTTCTTTTCTTTCTGTTGACTGGTATGGGCAATCAAAATATTGCATATGTTTGAAAATTTTATTCAGGATGCTTGTTGCAGAAAAAGGCGAAACAATTTGAAAACACAAAGATTCTCTCTTGGTATTGCAAAGGCAGAGCTGAGTGAAGGAGGTCAGAGAGGGGAGCTGGTTAGCTGTAAGCAGACGTGGTCAACCACTGAAAGTTTAATGTTAAGCTCAAAGGTAGGGTGCAGATGAAGCAAATTGACTGGGGATGTTGCTTTTCATTAAGCGTTCCACTAAGGAAAGTATTATCTCTGCAGTTAAATGTGTTTTAATGGGGTCTGCACTACTGCTGGAATATTGTAAAGGGTTCAGAAATGGATAGAGTTGAAAACCATCAGCTCAGAAAATTGATAATGAAGCAGAAAGACTTTCACATCTAAACCATCACCTCTAATCTAGCCTGTTTCATTAAGGGTGCACAAAGCTCTTCAGCCTCCTGGCTATTTGTGACTTCTGAAACTGTGAAAACATGCTGCACCCACAAAGTAGAGCAGAGGCAGGGCGGGACACTCAAAGTCCCAAGACAAGAATAGCTACGCTAGGGTGCTTATGTATTTATTCTGTGGAAAAGGAGATGAGACTTGAGTTGTTTCACTGAAAAAGAGATTTGTGGCTTGTCTCAGACAGGCCTATGTGAAATGAAAAATGGGCCTTAAGTCTGCCTCTTGCATTGGGAACCACCAGGTTTGTCCTGGTCCCAGAAGCTGCCAGCACGGTCAGCATTTATAGGTGTTTATCAGCAAGTGTGTATGGAGGTCAGGACCTCATGGTCACAGAGCTGAACTTCTCCCAAAAGCTCTGTGTGTTTGCTTTGCTGAGGCATCACAGAGGGAAAAACATACCTGAATCTGAAGTCTAGCCTGAAACACTGGCTTTTAGTCTCAAGAGAATAATTCTGAGACGTACAAGGACATTTCTCTTCTTGGTGGCACCAATGAAGGCAGCTCCCACTCCCATGCCTGCCTGCAGCCTTGTCCCGTTGTGGCCCCAGCAGAGACCAGGGAGAAGTCCCATATTGCAGCGGGATAACTGATGGGGCAGAAGGCAGGATGGAAGAAGTTAGATAAGCTGGAGAGGCACAACTTGGACTGACGCAGCATGAGGGAAGTCCTCAGGACAGCTCAGCAGCTTTATTCATCTCTCCAGCTCTAGGGCAAAGGAAGATTCAGAGGTCTTTCTTCTGTCATTTAGCGGCTCTGCACAGAGTGCATGCTCGGCAGAGGCCAGTGAAATGGGAAGGCATCTTTCCTTGTGCCACTGAGCACTCGCATGGCTCTCAGGATGTGATCTTTTCCAGAGATCTCAATATAAGCCTTCAGTCATTCATAGGAGTTTTATAGCGTCTTTCAGTGAGAGGAAAAGTGAGCCCATACTGAGTGCTCTTCAAAAATCCTGTCCAAACATCAGTAGTGTAAATCACACAGAATAATTAATGGAATAAAATCCACTTGCAGAATCTTATCTAAACCCAGTGCAATAAAGAGTTACCATAGGCTCACCATCCTCAGTGTAGACGCCTGCCCTCGAGCAAGGGGCAGGGACGAGGCAGTGCTGACAAAATAGGCATCGTACTTATGCAAGGGCTCCCTGTGAAATTGCGGATCTCCAAATAATATCTCTCCTCATGCACGTGTCAGGCTCTGCCCCAGTTTCACTGCTGGGAAGTGCTCGGGACCTGCCACTGGCTCTCCCCAGGGCTCCTGCGTGGTCAGGCTGTGTCACAGAGGATGATCCTCTCCCTCTAAGCCTCCTGAGATGGGAACTGGTATGGGCCTTCTCCATCAGGTGTGCAATTAATTGCACCAAAGATTTGTAGTGACCTGGTTACTTATAGCCATTAAATAAGCAAATAAGATTCATGAAGGTAAGATTAAAGCATATTCCATTACTGAGTATCTGACAAAGAATGGCAACCCATCTTAGTAAAATATTCATCTTTCTCCCCCCACAATGTGGAATACATTTTTTCTAGAACTTCGAGCCATGTGTTATTCAGGTTTGCAACCCATTAAACATCTCCCCCTCTTTC